CAAATCCACATTAAGTGGTGTCATTTTCTAAAACGATGAAATGAATTAAGAAAGTCACGAAGATGTCTGGTCAAATAGAAATTTCAAAATTAGGACATCTCTGTCTCCTTCGACAGATTTGACATCAATTGAGGGGTAACCGGATGAACATTTTTGTTTATCTTTCAACACTTAACAGAGCATGATATAACAAACCATCAATCTCTTTGAACAATAAAAGTCCTCTGATCGATGAGGTTCTTCGCTTTTATAACTCAGCCCATTTGTCACCTGATGATGTTATATAAATAATTTTTTTTTCGTTCTTTTTTTTTCCAATGTCGAAGCGTGGGTCACATAACAGGTTTGAACAAGAAACCGACTTATCGGTATAATACTGTACTATACTGCTACCTCGCTACCTCCTCTATCAGAGAGGAGGTCAGTCAGTTTACAACCGCCGTCAATTCCTTTCACCCGGCTCTGAAATATACCTGGGAAATTTCCAACACTTTTTTTGGCTCTTTTGGCCATCAAAATTTCAATTGAAGGCAACGGTCTATACACTAGCGTTTACTACAAATGTATAGACTCACATAGTTCCTTGTTGTATTCATCTTCGCATTCATCACACGTCAAGAATTTCATACCTTTTCACAGTTTATCATACTTCGTCGCTTATATAGTGAAGACTCTGGTTTTTCCGAGAAATTAGGGGCAATGTGCCAGTTTTTCGATATCGTGGCTATCCTGTTTCTGTCGTTTCATTCACTCTCACATTTCACCCTTAAAACAGAACCAAAAAAACACTATGCGTGTATTTCAATTCCTAAAACAGTTGAATATGTGCGCGCTTGTAATTCTATTCTTTTGCGTGACAATCAATTCACCCTTAGGAGGGTTTTAGTCAATCTTAGTAAATTGCACGCATGAACCCGTGAATGCCCTCTGTTAGCAAGTAAAAAAAACTGTGAAATATCATCATAGTGCAAAGATAAACTGCACTTGGCATATCCACTTCCGTTTTAATCCTCAATTTGTGTTAAGACTGGAACAGTATATCAAGCAGACCCCAATCAAACGGACACCCAATGTTAAACGAACATATTAAGCCAAAGTCGCCATTTTTTCTTGACACACTTAATATGGAACATCGTCGTAACTGGCAATTCCCAGACAGATCAACAAAATTGAGTCCTTTAGTGATTCAAACCTTTTGTTTAGCATAATCTTGAAGGGGTTTTATGTGAGACTTTTTTCGTCTTTTATAAAAGCTGTACTGTTCGTGGGGCCGTACGTGTTCAGTTCGTGTTCGTGTTCAGAGCCAAATGCACCACGATGTCTATTTAGGATGTCGAGTTACAAAATGGTATAAGGGAATAGCGCCCACGCTATCTCCAGCCATATCTGCGTTTTTCGAGAACAGACGTAGATTTCCACCCTCGTTGTAGCCAGTGTTACAGGCGGTTGTTGGAGTGTGTCAATAGGGTTGACGTTTAGCCGTAAAACGGCAAAAAACCCGGCAAAAAACATTTAGCCGCTGGGCGTAGAAATTGACAACTTTTAACTGTTAGTCATAACAAAAAAAACGTTGGTTGTAAAAATCTTTCCTTTCTACAATGTGTCATTTTCTGTTATCTTGGGTTAACCGTAGTCGTAAATTGGTCATAATTTTAACCATTGTTTGTTGAGAATGCTTTGTCCATAAAGCTTAAGGATCAGCGTTAAGAAAAACTCATTCCCTCCAGACAAAATGGCAATATGGCGATATGGCGATTTCTATTTCAGGAAATTTTATTGGAGGAAAGGGCGCTAAATGTTGTCTACCGCTGTAAAGTATGAAGTCATTTGATGTATGAACATATTTCAATTACTTCCTCTTCCTGTCTACCTGTCCTACTGATTCATTCAACTTAGCCATCACGTAGGAATACTATATAAATTGAAGGATTTCGACGGGTGATTTCAGCTGAGGTAGCTAAGCTTGGCCGGAGTCTTCTCTTCCTTTACCTTTGAGTGTTGCCGCTGATGATAACTTTCTATCCTTAAGATTTCTTGTGGTATGCCTCTTGTAATACAATTTGAGAAATTATGAATGACCGTATTTTGCATGCATTTCTTTTTTCTTTTTAAACATATTATTTATGTTATTTAGTCGAGTCGGCTCGTTACTAGGAATTTTCATCTCTCAATGTTATAGCAAGGCACTGCTACAGTTTCACTCCACGCTCAGTGATTATTTAAAGTTACAAGTGGTAGTTTTCTTTTCTCCAAGAATAACTAGTTGTTCAGTCAAGGTAAGCCGACGGAACTTAATGTTTAAAATTGTTGATAATGAAGATTAAGTTAAGCAAAATTCCGGGGTGATGCGTTTCGAGGAAATTTGTTGAGCTAAATTTATTTAATTTTCCCCATTTTTTTGATTAGGTAACAAGAGGACGCTGAATTGTTTTGAAAATGATTTAAACTCTTTGTCTTTGAAAAATATTATTTTCCACCAGTTGATAATTCGTACAAAACTTGATTCTTTGTAAAAGTTCTGCGGCAATTGTTAAGTATCACTCATCAGTTAAGATCGATAAAACTTTTCGCCGCTTACTAGTATGACATACATCCATAGTCCATCAAGTAGAAGGACCATCAACAATAGTCCTTGTCCTGGAATATCGTTACTATTTTTTGCTTTCTGTAGACTGTTATGTTTTCATTCATATTTAGATTATTTGGTCTGCGGTAAACCAATGTTAGTGGAAGTCGATGGCTTCCAACTCTTGTGTAGCTTCTCACAATATCACGAGCCTCAAGCACCAGAGGTCGCTTTCAACCTCTTCCTGTATTCCGTGGTTTGCTGTGCTCAGCATTGAATGTCTGGCCATAGTCATCCTCAACATCACCACCATTATTGTATTTGTGAAGCAGCGCCAGCTACAGAGGAAGAGTACATACTTGATTATCCACCTTGCCATAGCTGATTTGTTAGCCGGGGCCATATCAGGGCCGATGCAGGTTTATGCAATCATGGCTGAGTGTTACGGGAAGATTTGGGATATAACGTTTTCAAGAATAAGTTTAGCAATACGTCCCTTTTTCCCCTTTGCATCCCTTGTCAATCTTGCGTTCATTTCGCTGGAACGAGTACACGCAACATATCGCCCTTTTAAGCATCGTTTAATCAAGAAATGGGTGTATGGACTAGTTATAGCTT